AAAGTGTTCATTCCTGTTAATTTGTGTTGTCATTTTTACAGGCCAAGACTCTTTTTTTAATATCAAAATTTGTTTCTGGTTTAAAAACTAATTTGGTGCCAAAGGGGAAAAATATTTCATGCCAAGTGAACCATAAATAAATTCAGTGTATGGAAGAATTAGAGATTTCCATTCCTTCAGGCTCTATTATTTGTTTTATCTGGCATCAGCAGCATCAGCAGCCAAGGACTTTCAGTATGCAAGTCATCTTAACTTGGCTGAAGCATTGTCATTCCTTAATAAGAAAGGCAGGGCCAAATTTAAAAGGCTGCAGGGTGTATCTGATGTCAGAGTATGGCTCTTACATTACTTTCTACACAATGTATCTGCATATTTGTATTTTACAGAAGGGACTCTGCTCTTGGAATGGAATCATATTTGTGTCCAGTTGTGCTTTTTTGGCCTCAATACAGCACTGTCACCTTAAGAATGTGGGTAATACCATTAGGAAGATGCTGAATCAGGCCCTTTTTTCTATTTGGGCAGATTTTGGCAATGAGGGCTCAGAGTTAAGCAATAATGATTGTATAGAGTTTGGAATGCAAGCCATATTAGGAAGAGGTTGAAAGAATTAGATATATTTAGTTTGGAGAACAGGAAATTAAGGATAGAGGGTGGAGGGCAGCATGTCCAAGATACCAGTTTTCAAATATTTGGAAGTCTGCTGGAAAGATGATGGAGAAAAATGTTCTCTCATGCCACCAAAGACAGGACATGAGACAATGAGTTTAAACTGCAGTAAAACAGCTGTAGATCAACTGGAAAATAGTTGGAAGTTTGGAAAAAGAGGCTGCATAACCATATATTTAGGATGGTTTATGAGTAGTGAATATTGCATCTGTGCATGAAGTTAGGTGGGATGATCCTTGAGGTCCTTCCAACGCTATGTTTCTATGAATGTTGAGCTATACTGCTCTAGGAGGAACTGTGAAAACATTAGGTTTTCTCCTTTACTTTGTTCAA